TCTGCTCTGCACTGCTTCCCCAAGGCAGCCACTGCAGCTGATGAAACTGACAAGCGGTGGACTTGGGGAAGCTGCAGAGCAGCTGGGATGCTGCCTGGTTGGTCCCACAGTGCTGCCCCTCACCCACTGCTCAGGGATAACTACTGCAGTCTGGGGGGTGGGGAGCCCACTCCCCTCCCCTCCTGAAGATTCTCATCAGCTCTGCTCTGCACTGCTTCCCCAAGGCAGCCACTGCAGCTGATGAAACTGACAAGCGGTGGACTTGGGGAAGCTGCAGAGCAGCTGGGATGCTGCCTGGTTGGTCCCACAGTGCTGCCCCTCACCCACTGCTCAGGGATAACTACTGCAGTCTGGGGGGTGGGGAGCCCACTCCCCTCCCCTCCTGAAGATTCTCATCAGCAGCGTGGGGTTTCCCCTGCCTTCCTGCAAAATAGCAGAGGATTCGCCCCCTGCTGTGCCTTTCCCTGCCCACCCCCTGGACACAGTGCGGGTCCCAGCAGATCAGTCAAAGCCCCTCCGGTGGAGTACCTCCCGATACTCTGGCATATCCGATGATCTGGCACCACCTAGGTCCCAAAGGTACCGGATTATCGGGAGTCTACTGTACCAGTCAAATATAACATCTCAATTTACATAGTGTCAATAATAGGAGGAATTGAGTTCTAAATCATATATAAAATAATTTGAACCTGAAATCTAATGGCTAAAAACAGAACTGTTGATACGAAACATGCTAGATTTAAAAAAAATTGCAAAGAGAACTTTATTTAAATTTTTAAAAAGATCTGTGTTAAGGCCTAAATTTACTGTTATATATTTTTGCATTTAACTTTAAATGCAACCATGTACAACTTCAAGTTTTTACTGCTGAACTGTTAATGGAAACTGCTGACTAAGCACCCAGAACTACAGTTAGATGTCAAAAGCTGGTTTGGCATTTAGAGTATCTACCTTTATCACAGGTGTGCAGAGAATATTTTATTTTCAGTTCATTCAGTTTGGGTCAATTACTAGTTTACAGGCAGTCCCCGGGTTACGTACAAGATAGGGACTGTAGGTTTGTTCTTAAGTTGAATCTGTATGTAAGTCGGAACTGGTGTCCAGATTCAGCCGCTGCTGAAACTGACCGCCAGTTC